CCGTGTCGGGACTCACCAGCTGGCCGATCTTCAGCAGCCCCGGGATGGTCCGGCTGTATCCCAGGTTGAGGAGGCTTTCCCCGGAGGAGCAGCCGGTGGTGCTGCTGGTGATGACGGTGTGGGACATGCTAACAGCTTCAAGGAGCCTAATAATGTTTTTAGCCGAGTTAGACCGCAGCAGCAGCAGCAGCAGCAGCAGCAGCAGCAGCGCCGTCAGTACAACCACAGCCTGTACCCCGCTAACAAGCTAGCAGCGACACGCGCACACTTCCGGGAGGACTTTCACAATAAAAGCCAATGGTTTCCTTGGTGTGCTGCTGAAAGGACCCCCCAACCCCACCCCTTTTTCTTCTTTTTTCTTTTCTTTTTTTTTTAGCAAATCTAGTGCTGCCTACGGAAGAAGATTAGGGCCACTGAAAAAAAAAATGAGTTAACTGAATTTTAAATTTTATTTCAGTTTAACATGGGAAAAAAAAGTCAAAATTCTGACTTTTTTATTGTCAGAATTCAGTCAGAATTCTGAGATTTAAAGTCAGAATTCCAAGATTCCAGAATTCTCAGAATTCTGACTTTTTTCCCATACTAAACTGAAATAAAATGTAAAAATCAGTTAACCTTTTTTTTTTCCACTCACCCTAATCCGCTTCCATAGCTGCTGGTGTTTACGGAACAGGATTAGGGCCACTGGGAAAAAAACAAACAAACAGATTTTTAAATTTTATTTAAAGTATAATATGAATAAAAAGTCAAAATTCTGACTATAATCAACGTAAAAAGTTGCCTAATTACATCCTTTTCCACCTATGTGTTACTGTTCCTCCTAAATAACTCCCATCTTGCTCCCACATCTCTTCCTCCATGGTGCCCATCTACATTAACATGCACATTTCTGAGATTAAAGTTTTTTTTTCTCATAATACAATGAAAAGAATTTCAAATCTGTTAAACTTTTTTTTGTATTTTTAAGTGGCCCTAATCCTCTTCCCTAGATGTTGTTTTAAACCACTAACTCTGTTAATTTGGACTGATTTTCCATTTGGTTTCAGTTGTTCCTGATCTTTTTATTTCTTTTTAACAGTCAGAAAAACGCTCCTAAACTGAACGTCAGTTTTCCCATTAAAAGAAAAGTCGCTCATATTCAGAATTCAAACTTCTGAA